TCCTACTGCTTAAGGAAAATGACTCTGCGGACTTATGTGGAAATGCTGAAGTTCCAAGATCGGCTCCATTCGCATGCTTATTTTCGCAAAGCAGCAGCTGGAGCCATCAGGTGATGATTTCTTCCATGTTCCTCCACGACTTGACAATGTAGTCTTTGGTTCCCATCTGGTCAATTTCATGCATGTAAATATGCTTTCAGGTGGACTGCTATTTAATTTTAGATGGCTGACATTTAGTTGTTCATTACATTTAACTTATTAATCTCATTGATCAGTTCTGGTGCAACTGTTGACTGTCTTGTTATTTGTACTTCATTTAGGACTGCAAATGAACCGAGCTGTTCATGAACAGCTTGGGATCAGCTCATATTGGAGTTCATTTGAATTCACACATTTATAAGATGAACCGAGCTTGAGCCCAGAGGTTGCACGATGCCTTGTTCAACTCATCAGACTGTTGAAAGTGAATATATAATATACATTATCTTCGTGCTTGTATAACTTACATACACATAATATGTTTGGCATATATAAAGGAAGAGATGAATCTTGTATCTATCTTGTTTATGTATAAAACATGGACCAATAGAAATTATATGGTGTAGAAATTGTGAAGTGATGGTTTGATATGCTGTAAATACTATATAATGGAAAAACAAAAGAAAGTAAAGAGCATGTGATGGAATAACTAGTTAGCAGTAGAAACTATGAAATACAGAAGCAGTGAACCTCAATCTCGAGTCAATTGTTCTAGTGGGAACAACGCCAAATAAGCTGTAAGCATTCCAGTCTTTGTTTAAGTGGGAACAAATCCCACATCGAAGCAAAAGCAAAAAGAGCAGTGGGAAGTGCCATATAAGCAAGGCATTTGGCTGCTCATTTCCTTCATGTTAGCAAATGGAGCATTGACATAGTTTGGAAGCTTCTAACTGTAGCAAGCCAAGTTTTGGTTATCCCAACCTTGCAAAGAATTTAATGAGACAGGTTTGAACAAATTTTTGGAAGCCCATTACGATCCCGAGCCAATCCCAAATATGTTCTAAAAATGGCCAAGCCAAGCTAGAACAATGTGGTATTTGGCTCGGCTCGGGGTTCATTTTCACACCTAACTTCATTGATCAACTGCAAGCCTGCAGAAGGAATCTATTCAAATGAGGTCATAATGTGATTTTTTGCAATCTTCACAATCATGATCACTTGCTTTGACATGTAGATGCTACTTAAAGCTGTATGATTCTCCTCCAAAGTCATTAGCTGAAGAAGATGATGAAATGGCCAAATTGGCTCCTTCTCAGAAAAAGAAAATGAGGCAAAAGCAGAGGAAGGCTGAAGCCCGAGCCAAGAAAGTATTTTTTTGCTCCTTATATCTTCTGAAAAATCTGTGTCTGAATAACTAGTTCTAAGTTTTTACTTTTTATTAGGAGGCAGAAGTGAAAAATGAGGAATCAAGTGCAAGTAATGCCTCTAAAACTGGAAAACGCCATGTTAAACCAGTAGATCCGGACCCACATGGAGAAAAATTATTGCAGGTAGGATTTCTGATTGCTTCTGGACATTTCCAGTCACCTCGTCAGATTTCATCTCTTATGTTTTGGATGGATAAGATCTTGCCACTTGAGAATATTTACTTGTGCAGGTTGAAGTTCCTTTGTTGGAAGCTACAAAGTACTTGAAGCTACTTCAGAAGCATTCTCCTGATTCCTTAGAGACACATTTGCTTTCATTTGAAGTAAATATGAGAAAGCAGAAAATCTTGCTTGCTTTCCAGGTAGCTTCATTTGTTGTGTGGAATCTTGAAGAGAATTTTTTAAGTTTTCTGTCAGCCGTCATGTTTGGTAGGTTATACCATATGAACTTAATAGCATTTTAGGCTCAGTTGAACTTTTTTTTTTTTTCGGAAGGTAGTTGAACTTTGTCAAGAAATAGAATTCATTTGATGTGTGCACCAACTAGAAAAGTGTGTTTTTAACAACATGAAATGGTGTTACTAATATTCTCTTGTGAGATTTTTTTCCCTTTGGTTTTCGCGTGTAATTGGCATTATATCAGTAACTGCTTCCAGTCCCTAGCTTGTGGTTACAAGAATCATATATAATATATTCTCTTGTTATCTTATGGAAGGGGTGAAGATGGTCTTTGTTTCTTTTCTTTTTTTTTTTCCTGCCCTGTAGGCAGTAAAGCAGTTACTGCAGTTGGATGCTGAAAACCCAGACTCCCATCGCTGCTTGGTATGTTCCGTTGGTAACTATGTATTCTTATGAAACTGTGTAATACACAATCACTCTTTCTACGTTTGTATGCATACATGGCATGTGTTCATGACAAGTTAAACCTTTGCTAGGAGAGGCAACCTGCCATCTGGGCTGCACATCCTGATTGAAAACTTGTTTTCTTGCAGATAAGATTCTTTCATAAAGTGGGGTCCATTCCTGCTCCAGTGACAGACTCTGAGAAACTTATTTGGGGTGTCTTAGAAGCAGAGCGGCCTAATTTGAGGTTATCTTTCATCTAGGATGCTGTTTTTTTTTTTTATCGTCTCTTCTTTGCCCCCCACAGTGTATTAATTTATTTCATTGTATTTCTTTATCCTTTTGTAGTCAGTTGCATGAGAAATCTCTCATCGGGGCAAACACCTTTTTTCTTGAGAAACATAAAGGTCATCACCTATCTGTATGCTTTACTAGTACATGCAACTCCCATGCCTTTTCTATTGATAGTGTCATACTGGTTTCTTGTTTGCAGATTCCTTGATGCATAGAGCAGCAGCTGCAGAAATGCTTTATGTTTTGGAACCAAACAAGAAGGCTGAGGCTATCCAATTGATTGAAGAATCATCCAACAACCCGGTCTCAACGTAATGTCTCTTAGTATATTTAGCGTTGTCTATGCTGATTTTTCACTGCTGCGTTGTATATTACTTTTGATGGCATACTTTCAAACTATGTTTATTTACTGAAGTCTACTTTTTTTCCTAAATTAGAAAGGGAGCACTTGGATCTGTCAGGGAGTGGAAACTCAAAGATTGCATCACGGTTCACAAACTTCTAGGAACAATTTTGGCTGACCAAGATGCTGCATCAGGTAAGTTCTGCACTTCACTTGCTTCATGCTGGTTTGATGTTTCAAACACCTATATGAGTGGAGAGGCCTCTTAAGCATATAAACCAACCAAGGGTGATCCTAACCATTAACCATTCAATGTGGGATACAAACTCTCATTAGTTTATAGTTGCTATAGGAAATGAGACGAGGTTATACATTGCACAACATTCTTTTGAAATTTGGAAACTAGTGGCAGGTGTGAGCTGTATGGAAAGTTGATATGTGCAGTCTCTAATCTTTTCTAGACATCTATCGTCAAATCAGTGAAAAAAGAAGAGAAGTGAGGCACACATACATCTCCATTTTCCCCAATTTATTTGTAGTGCAAAATTGATAAAAAATCAAATGATTTGTCACAGGATCAATCTAGCTTTTCAATTTTGCTCTGTTGTCTGCCACTAGCGATGCTAGCATCTAGGCCGACTGTTGCTTGTCATTATACATAACCATGTATACTTTTTTCAAGCATGATACATAGGATGTCAAGTTTGCTGTACTTACCATGACAGTCATAAGAGTAGAACTTGTGTAGATAATAGTGCAATGTATTTTTTGTTGTAGGATGGAAGGTGAGATGTGCAGAATACTTCCCATACTCAACATACTTTGAAGGTAGCCACAGCTCTGCTGTGACAAATTCATCTTACAAGAAGATATACAAGAAGCCTGAAACTATGGGTCCAAATCATCCAGATGCTAATCAAAGCACCGAGTTTCTTTCGTCAAATGGAAATGTAGAAAAGATCGGGGGATTTAAGGATCTTGTCCTCTAATCACTTAATAGGTGAGACATGTTTGCTATCTTTCTCCAAGAGGTTTACCAAGTCCGGGTGATGAAGAGTCATAAAACCATGTTGCGGCTTTAAGAAAATATCTAGATTCAAGGAGAAAGCTCACCCTGGGGGGATGACTTCAAGATTTTGTAAGTTATGGCAAGATCCCATTTAGTGTTGTGTTGAGATTGAATTTTGTTTTTTGTCCAGTTCCACCTCCACGCCTTTCCAGCATTCATTGCTTTGCAAATGTATACTAATTCTAGCCCCATTGTGCTTCAAAAGTCGTCGTATTCTTGATTTGCTTGTTTTCTGGTGAGATCCCTGTACGAGGGGTTCTATGGCCTTGCATTGCAAAATTTTGAATGACCTAGTTAAAGGGAGCGCTGCAGAAGTTTTCAGACAACCGGTCCTTTCCTGTCAGCATAGAACACTAGCCCTTAGCCAACCTATCTCAAGAGAATGTTGTACTTGCCTCGTTTTATTGACCATTATTCATAATGTATAGATGCTGTTTATGTGAGAAAATTTTGTCAAGGAATAATACAATTAACCAAGTGATAGATTCAAGTAATTGCATGATCGAAATACAATTAAGGTAAGTTGCCAGATTTTACTCTGGCTTTGACTATTCTTGTATTTGAATTCCTTCTCAATCCCATTGTGCTTGTACCACCCGACAGTACTCTGGCTTATAAGCCATTTCTTTTAGGGCTATTTGTGATTTGAACCAGTAATATTTTTCATACATATATTTTAAAACTTACACTCATGGTTTGGGACCGAATTGCGGATTACCTTTTCTGTTTGTACTTTGATTGCAAATTGTAGGGGGTTATATTTTAATTTTTAAAATATACTAGGAAGTAAAGTATCATTAGTTCAAATCACGCAAAGGAAAATGTAATTGATCATGTTGTGGCACAAACAAGAACACCCAAATAATGAAAGGATATGACATGGATTTAGAAAAAGGGTAAAAATTCAACCACAAAATATTGAAACCTCGAGAGTCCTCTCACAATCCACCTTTTTGATCGATACATATACTTGTATCATTAATCTTTTTTATGAAAATAAAACAAGTGACGATAAGTAAAGTTACCATCAATGCATTACTCACCAGATGAGTTAATACAAGCAATCAGGGCAATATAGTAACTTTCCAGTGTCGCGGCACATGACCAAGAAGAGCACACACACACACACACACACACACTTATGGACAGATGATAATCACACTGGTTCTAGTGGCGGAATCATTTCCAAAGGGTGAAATTGTTGAGGTCCATATAGTTTTCACATACCTACAACTCATGTACTGTGTTATCCATTATATTATAGGAACCACATATCGCAGTTTACAATAGTTGAATCACTTGCCTGAGGTCTCATGTGTGTTTAAATACCATCACTTTGCAAATGGAAGGGCACCTAAGGGTAGCTTTCACTCACCACAGCAGCTCTACGTGAGTTGGGGCTGAGTAACCAGGAACTAAAACACGTTGATCCCATACACACCTTCAGCTGACACATTACCCGCCCTCTGCTCGCTCTGATGTTGGCTGGAGTTTGTGGTTGATGATGAAGCCCCACCATTTTCCCCGATCTCACATTTACAAAGAGGGCACAATGCATTAATCTTCAGCCATTTATCTACGCAATCGATGTGAAAAAAATGAGAGCAGGATAGTTCTCTCAATTCCTCATTGTCTACGTATTTTGCCAAGCAAATACAACAAACCTGCACCAGATTGAAGGTAACTGATTTAAATATTAATCATCCATAGAAATCAGCACATCACCAAGCAGAGGATGCATTCTGTAATGAGCTTTCAGAATATGGGAGTGTCTAGCAGCCAAAACACATAATACAAGCTAAACTACGAAGGCACTAAGACATTATTGTAAGAAAAGGAAACTACAAAATCTGCCACTTTTCTGAATTGCAAGTGGCCACTTTCAAGTATCTGAATATGATTTGAGCTGACGTTCCACAAACATTTTGGTTGGGAGGTTCATGGCTTTCATTTGGAATTAAACACAGCTCTCTGGTGCAAGTCCAAATAGGGACAATTGGTCATCAAAATCGAAGAAAAGTAAATCCAAAAATTAATATCAAACTTACAGCGTCTTCTCCTGATATGGTACGCTCCTTTTCAGTTCCTGCAGCCAAGACTCCACCTTCACAAGTTCCCGAGTTGATGTCCTGATTGTCACCTCTTTTCTTCAGCTTGAACTTGTATGTTGGGAGAGCATTAATGGATTCCATCGAGGCTCCCTTAGTCTGAGAAAGATCCTCTTGGATACCCAGGATAGAAATCATACAGGGCAAGCAGCAACAGATCGTTGCACACAGTATAAAGGGCATGGCATACCCAATACAACTAAAGGTTAGGAATACTATACATAACCTGCAAAATCATGTCAGAAGTAGTAAGCAACTTAAACTAGGTGGAAGGCCAATAGTGGTTGATAAGCATATGGCATTTATTGGTACCTATACAACTTAGGAGCATCTGAAGGAGAAGAGTGACCTCCAAAAATCCACACATTACCTACGACAAACCACACTGCAAAAAAGCAATCCAGGGCCATCTTGAAGTGGTCCACAAGGCTGTTAAGGCTGCAATAAGAAACCCACTTCTCACTAAAGCACACCATCTATAATTTCAGTGTAAGATGAATAATGCTTTACTAGAAAACAAGTCTTAAGCTTCACACTTCAAGCAATGAATAACACGTGCCATCAAGAAAAACACTAAAAGAAAAATGGCCTTTAGTTTTGCCTCTTAAACTTCCTAACATTAGCCCATATATGACATGCTCATTATACAAAGCAGTAACAGGAAGCAAGTTCAAAAAGTTCAACTGATATATCCATCAGCAATAATTTCCCACAGCAGTTTTCTTCTGTGTGGTGGCAAAGACGCTTTGCATGTTAAAATAACACCAACTAATCCACATGCAGATTTATACTATTGAATTTCTGTTCAACTTTATGCATCCTATTTTAATCCATTCTAATAACATGCCTCCTCCACCCCTCCATAGGGCAACAAGCGGGTAACAGAGGACACACATCACCTGTCTGCTTTTGCATGTGTGATGAGAATTAGCATATGATTTAGCGAGACAGTGTAACAAGAATCATATACCATTGGTTTTGGATAGATACTTTAATATCGTATTAGAGCTAGGTTTCAATAGGTCAACACTAAAGTCTCAATTACTTGGATTAGTCTCCCCATATTTGTTTATTCTTATGCGAGTGGTGGTCCAATGTTGCTGAAGGGTACTGGAACTTGTCCCACGTCAGTAGTGCAAAGCCTCTTAGACAAGAAACAAAATCTTCTTCTGATACTTGACATAATCCAGTGAACGTACCGTGCCCTCAAGCTTTGGGTGATCTGACTGCTTGAAGCGGCTGCATTTGCGATTTGATGGTTTTCCTCTCCAGAAGATTGAGCAACGGAAATAGCTGTGTATGAAGCAGGTTCAGATGAAGAATTGTTTTGAGATGATCCCTGATGTAAATGAGTCGTATCTTGAGCAGTTCCTTGATTGCGATTACAATAACGCCAATAAATAATAGGAAGCATTGCAACACATCCAGATGCATAACCCAGAACCCAGGCAAATAACGGGGCTTGTGGATTTTCATGTCTTGACAATGACAAAACAACAATAGATGCTATAATTTGGCCCACATTGACACCTAGCTCAATAGAAATCCATAGCCCTGAATTCAGTGGACTTCTACGGCGACTAGCATAGCCTTCACTTCTCCTTATAGATGGAGAGTTCCTAGAGTTGACAGTACTTGAAGACAACACGGGAGATTGATAAGTGACAGCCTGTATGCTACTTGATGATCTGTCCTCGTGCTGTGGTGGCTCTGCTCCAGGAGGAGGATCCTCATTAGACAGGCTTGACAAAGCATCATCTCTCCTTGATATATCAACAACATGCTCGCAATCACAATGGTTTTCCTTCTGAGCCATTAGCAATGGAAATCTATCAGTAGCTTCAGTTTCACTTGGTGGTTCCGGGGAGGGAACATCCATCTAAGTCTACCAATAAATTTGGTCGGAGAGAAATCATAGACGGAAGTGATGAGCTTTTCAAGTTCCCATCCAAGACTTGTCTTGTCTAGGTAGTGAGTGGCACAAAACACCTCCCTACCCCTTGTTGTCCAATGTCCAAGAAACTAGACTGTACTTGTGCTGTATCACCATCCAACAATTCGCCGTCCAATATCCAAGAAACTTGACTGTATTCGTGCTGTTGGCAGAAGAAGTCACAATATCAGGAAAAAATGTTTCTAATTTTTCTTTCAGTATCAAACTGAATTAGAAGTAAATAAAGATTGCTCAAATTAGTAATAAATAATCATTACACAACAACATCATCATATAGCTTTATACACACAGTGGTGACTTCCATTGTAGGCAATAAATTACATTTGCATCCCACATTACATAGTGAGACCTTAAATGCCACGCAGACTTTATTCTGAAAATACTAGTCCACAATAGGCTAAACTATGTACAAATGAAGTCTACTAAGAGCAACTCCAATATGCTCGGTAAAAGCCATTTTTTAGCTATTTTGAAGAGCCAATCCCAAAAATTTCTCTCAAACCGGCTCTCGATTCCACTAGCTATTTTACCTCCCCTATTTTCACTCGCTACTTCTGGCAAGTGAGGCTCCCTCGCTATTTGCTTTTTGCGCCAAATTTTGTGGTTGGTCTTCTTGCGCAATGGCTTCATCGTCTTCATCAGAGCTTGTCTTCACCCAAGTATGAATCCCTCTCTCTCTCTCTGTGCTTGAGCCAACAGAAACCCTAGTGCCCAAATAGAAACCTGAGATGATTTTGACACCCCAAATGATGAAATCAAGAATTCAGAAGATCACTGTGGTCTGTTCTGCGAGGTAGAAGACCACTATGGTCTGTTCTGCGTAGCGTGGTGAAGAGTTTTGGGAGGAGATGTGTTCAATTTTTATTTTTTTCTGGAATTTTTCTGGTTTTCTGGTTTAGCAATGAATGACAGAATCTAAGTAAATGGTTTGAACTAAAAACATGATCTAATTTGCATTGATCCTAGAATTTTTATGTATTAGCTATGAATTCATTTTGCACCTATGCTTTGGCATTTTATCAAACACTTGGTTGGCACGTATTATTGAAAGTTAGTTAAAATAATTAACTAAAATAGGGATCGTGGTCGGAGTAAATTTGTAAAAATAACTAGCTAAAGTAGAGAATGTAATACTTAAATATATTTTGCCTAACCATTTTTACAGTTAACAAAAAACCAGTAGAATCTGAATTTTGGGCACAGTTAACAAATACATCAACCTCAGGTGTCTGAGCTAATTCTTGATTGTCAGTTAAGTAGATGACAAACCCACCATCCATCCTCTGACTATTAGTAGCCACTAATAAACACCAACCAACCGAAAAAGGCAAAAAAAAAAAAAAAAAAAAAAAAAAAAATTCAACAAAATCTATTCAAGCTTAGAACCGAAAGACCCCACCTACTGTAATGTGCTCTAATTCATATACAAAGTATTATCAATCGAAATCTAACATGTAAGCATGGATTATCGATTAAAAGACAAACGAATAGATGCAAACCGAATAATAATTTGCGAATTTGCAGAGATAATAAACACCCTAGATGAAAAGGAGAGAGCTCTGCAACCATAAAAATGGAGAGAGGAAATTTGTACCAGATTCAAGTCGACAGTGGTGTTAGTAGGACCACTGGGAGGAGCATCGGAGAGATTAGAGACGCCTTTGGAGTTCAAATTTTACTTTCTATCAACTCTTTACTCGAAAACTATTTTCTCGAGAAAGTACTGTGTAGCTTTCCTCTCCCAGAGAGCAGACGGAGAGGAGAGAGAGAGAGTATACGTTAAGATCAGATATGGTAGTAAAATGTTTTTGGACCGTTGATTGTGGAACTGTCATTTCGGATCAGTCGGTTTTTATCTGACAAACTACAATCTGACGGCGAGGAGCTATCATGTAGGTCTGGTGTTGATTTCAAGCTAGCGTACTTCCAAATTAAAATAATTAAAAAAATCATATTATAAAATAATAATATTTTATATATAAAGCACAATAACATCGTTTATATCCAACAATTTATCTTATAACTTATAATTTAGTTATGATAAATTATTTAATCATAATATATTGTTTAACTATACTTATTATATTAATATTAAAAAAAAATTACCTCACTTTTTTTTTAATCTCAATAAATCATTCTACTTCTATCTTTACCATTGTAAGAAAATGAGTATATACTATTTAAAAAAGTAAAAAAAAATGCAGCAATAAATTACCGTGAACCCTCATACGACCTATCAAAGATTAGGGGAGAGATCCTTAGTAATGGTTCACTCTTCCACCAACTGATACATATAATGAATGTTCAAACGAAAAAGTTGACTTCTGGGTCTAAAACGAAGTCTCCAAAAAATCCTGAGTGAACTCAAACTCGTGGAAATTGATCATATGTATACTATGACATTTGTTTGTTGACCCAATAAGATGATAAAAAAGATATGAAATCAAAATCTATGTCTCTATACCATGTTATGGTCTGAAATCCTAATCTTTTTGAAGGTTTCATCCTTCGAACTTACCTTTAGGGCTTCTTCAAGTCAAGTTACTTAGTTTAGAAAAAGAAAAGGGTACAAATCTTACCAACATCTAAAAAACAGACACTAGAGCAGCAACTCTAGAATCTGTGTGGAGCTTAAAGCATACTATTTGAATGTTGGCTTTGGAGTTCTGTTCCTTCCATGTCGATAGTGGACCCCCGCCCTAAGGTATGATGTAAGTCCTTGATCAGATTCTCGTTCTTTGTTGCAATTAATGTTTCTTCTTTGTTAAAACCCTATTCTTTATCTTATTTAGTTCGATTCGGTAGTGACCGAGAATCTTTCGTATCTTGTTCCCTACTTCACTAATATTCAAGCATTCATTCCGGCCACAAATCCATCTGATAAAACAACAAGGATTGATGAATTGGAGATGCCTCTATCGATACTAGTGGTGGAGATAGTAGGCTCTACGGTTCATTCGTATCCTATGAATTGGAGATACTTAGTAGATTGATGGCTATTTGTGGTACCAGATATGGAGGAAGGAATCAATGAATGCAAAGAAAGATTCCCTCTATGGAAGAATGAATGGCATGGCAAGACAAGAATAAGAAGATGCCTTCACCTTTCCCACCCCTTCTTCATTCTCCTTTTTCTGGCTCTATCAAGGAGTGAACGATTCAACCATTAATAGAATCTTTGACGCCTGAGAAATCGGATTCAAGGGGATGGCACGCTATAGGTGAGGATATTTCCGTAGATGAGAATTATCCATCTATGAGTCCTATGCCTGTATAGGATCGATAAATCATATTTGTTTTCTTATTTTATCTTTTCTTCTAGGCTGGTTCTCTAAACACATTTCCAAGGGTTCTTAGCATTCGTAGTTCTTATCTAATCACCTAGAGATACAGATAGAAAATTTAGTTGAATAAGCATAAGATAAGAGTAAGGGGTCCCTAGGGAGAATGGTTTGGTCATAGACACTTGTTAAACACAATCCTAGCATATTCGATGATTCCTTTTTTTTTTTCTTATTCCTACATTCGCGACATGCGATGGTGATAAGGGCAAAACACATGAGGTATCACCTTTGTTTACCTTATGTTTCCCTGTCCCATTCAACTCAAAAAGAAATGGGAAATCCTTGGTTGGGGGACTCAGCCTGCTATGTCGAAGTCGTCCTTCTATATCTCTTATAGACCCAACCAGTTGAAGAAAATCTTCCTTCCCAAATCTCAATTATGGAACTTCTGTCCAACTCACAATTCCATCGGGCTGGCAAAGGCTAGCATAAGCAAGCTCCCCTAATTCCATTCCACTGGAGGGTTTGCTATGACGGAAAGTTTACATAAGTTTTTTCCTTTTTTTTTTTTTTTATCTCTATCTGTTTTCAAGTTGTCTAGCTTAAAACATCTGTCAGAGCAAGTCATGTTCTTAATCTCATCACAATCTTCCCTTTCTCTCTTCTCCGTATCTGTTTTATTAATTCCAAGGGACTTTCTGTGTTCTTCTATCAAGCTAGGCTCTAGGAAAAGCTGTACGCAAAGGTTTGAGCCAGGGTCAATGGACAGGGGTGACACTCGGTCCACTTGATTCAGGGCAGCTCCTTAGCTCTATTTTGATTTGTCAGAGGTGGTAGACATCCAGGAATAGCAACTGATTCAGCTTCCGCTTCTAGGAGATCACACGGAGCTCAATTAGTTTCTGCTATACAAGAAATAAAAAAACATAACCAATACAAGGAACAATGGAATACCAGACCATATCTGTTTTTGCGCTACGACAATCTCACTTAAATTACGGGGACCTACACATATTAGTACAATATACTGGGATGTCTGGTTAGAATCACACGTGCGAGTTTCCCTAGTTATTCGTGCATTGCACAAAAACCCTTAATTATTATATAAATTAGAATTTAATGAGAATTATGTAAATCACATGAGTTGATCTTATCAACTGAATACATTTTGAGTTCGAAAAGTGAAACTCAGTGTTGACCAATGTAGTCGTTATGTCACCAAGTTTGAAATGTGAAATATCGCTAAACTCATGAAAAATAAAATCGATATCATGCAAAAATTACACAAATAATCGTAAATTTTAGTTTCATTGATTTATATCTATTAAATATAAAAATAATCAAAATTAATAAAATATATAAATTTTATACATGTCACATTTATTAAATAAAAAACTAGAGATAGTGCCATAGTTGGACCCTTAAAGGTGAGTTGAATTTGTAAGTCCGTTTAGTATTGTTCATTAATATGTTGCGTGCAGTAATAAAGCTTTGGCATATTAAATAAGGCCTAATAGAAAAGACAAGATCGGACAAGTCAGATGACATTTTTTTTTAATATTATTTTGAGTCCACTTTGAAACCATTCATATGAAACAATTCAGTGAACATACGATTACATGACCTAACAAGGCAAAAATGAAACAAGTTTGTACAAATAAACTCGGTGTCTGCTTCCTAAATCCGGAACAAAAGAGATTACACTCATAAATCATAAATAAATTCACTTGTATAATAGTAAGTCACTTGTAAAATTAAGTTCAATAAGAAAATTCAAAGGGTAACCTCATCATGTATTTGACACAACTAATACCTATTTCACAATGCCGCATCAGTCATCAACTTCCGCTTTGATTTCCCTCTGGAGCTCCTCCTTGTACTCCTCAAATGTACGTGGGAAACTCTCCACAGTTCCATTCTCAACTACCCAGATTTCACTCCTCTCTTCGTCATCACAAACACGTGATATTAGCCTAGAATCATGACTGACTAAGACAACCCCACCTGTAAACTCATCAAGCGCATCAGCCAGTGCATCAATGCTCTGCATATCCAGATGATTTGTAGGCTCATCTAATAGCAAAATGTGAGGATTTGACATGGATATTGAGGTGAAGACAACCCGCGATTTCTGCCCCCCAGATAATTTTGCAATTGGGGTGGTGTGATTATGGCCAGGGAGTCCAAATTTCCCAAGTTTTGCACGGACAGCCTCTTGCTTACTGGGTCCTTCTTGATCTGGATGAAGACGAAGAAGATATTGAACAGGTGTTTCATCCATTGTCAAAAGATCAATAAAGTGCTGTGAATATCTCCCAATCCTCAACTTTTGACTCCTTCGTACTTCACCTACATTCGGGACCAGGTCTCCAGCAAGAAGATTAAGCAAAGTTGATTTCCCAGCTCCGTTGGGGCCAACAATAGCAACACGAGTACCCATATCGATACCAACGTCAATGTCAGACAGCCTGAAATCCTCGCGGTTTGGATAACTGAAGCTGACTTCAATTAGCTGCAAAAGTGGTGGTGTTAGTTCAGTGGGTTCAGGAAAGTGAAACTCTACACTGTAATCTCTCCACTTCTGAGGGGCCTCTAGCAGAGGCTCATCCTCATCAACCCTGCCCTTTGCTTTCTTTGACACTTCCCTGGCAGCAGCAGATTTAGCTCGATCTCTGACCTTTTCCTGCTGAGCACGATTCCCAGACCTCTTGGCAGCTTTCAATTGTTTGTCATAAATCTCAAACTTCTTGTTCATCTCTTTGCGACGCTGCTCATATCCACTTTCAAACTCATCAAAATTCCCACGGTATAAGTGCAGTTTCAGGTCATGAAGATGAATAATCTCATTGCAAACTGTGTTGAGGAAATCTCTATCATGCGAGACGACTACCAGAGTTTTCTTCCACCTGCACAAGTACTCTTCTAACCAGAGAACAGCCCTAAGGTCAAGATGATTGGTGGGCTCATCCAACAACAGTAAAGTGGGCTGCACGAAGAGTGCCCTAGCCAATGAAATTCTCATCCTCCAGCCACCACTAAATGACCGGGTAGGACGACCCTGCATATCCTTGGTGAAACCTAAACCAGCAAGAATCTTCGATGCCTGAGCCTCAGCAGCATCCGATCCCATTAGCTGCAATTTTTCATATAGTTCAGCCAGCTTTTCTCCCGCATCATCCGCATCACCATCATCATCAGCTTCATTCTCATCCATGGAAGAAGAATTCTGCAAAGATGCAACCTCTTGTCGGAGCTTGATGAGCTCTTCGTTAGCTGAAACAACTGCTTCAATGGCACTTCGATCATCACCAACTACCTCTTGTTCAACCAAAAGCACATCTATATTTTTTGGTACAGGAATCTTCCTCCAAGCAAGGAGCTTTAACAGAGTAGACTTTCCCTTTCCATTAGGGCCAACCAATCCATACCTCTTCCCGTGAGATATCTTCACTGATGCATATTTTAAGAGTTCTTTTCCTCGTGCGGACACAGAGAAGTTATCTATTGTTATATCCTTGACATTCGCATCAGATTCATCTTCACCATCGAGAACAGAGGCACGACTACCAATAACGACAGTAAAAGCATCATGATCATCCTTAAGAGCTTCCTGTTTGGTCTGCTCAGCAACATGGGAAGCAAGGATGTCCTTCCTTTCTCGTTTTCTCAACTCTTTGTCAGTCATGGAGATGTCAAGAGACTTTGCGTCGCTTCTCTGCTGCCGACTGGGCAATTTATGAACAGCATTCGCTTGCTGCTCTTCTTCAGAGGCATAATCACCATCCTCATCATCAGAGGGAGGGAGATCGATGCCATCAATATAAGAAGGTTTTTTTGGAGCAGCTTTCGACTTGGGTTTACTAGAAGTAGAGCTTGAAGAAGATACTTTCTTAGATTTTTCAGGTTTCTGGTCCATGCTGGCAAGCATGGCAGAGACTGAGAGCTTCTCTTTATTCCCATCTTTGGAAATGTCTTTGTTGCTTGGCTTAGTCTTTGTACTGGCTCCCATCTCATCTGACTTTTTCTTTCCCATTGCAGTGGCTGATCTGTTATGCAGATAGCACAGGAAAAAAAGAATAAATTTGAATGATCGTAATCAAGCTCTTCAGGGTCAAAATACAAACAAATGAGACAGCATTCTGAAGAGGAGTATCCCCGTTTCAAATGCCCAACAATATCTAAGCTTACGACATTGAAGATCTTTGAACCAATACAAAATCATCATGTTCAATACAAAAAGCACAGAAAGTCCATTTTTACAACAGGCACCTATAGGCTTTATGAAAACGAGGGGAAAGAATAGAGAACAGTATTAGAGTAGTAAAGCCTGTCTGCACACTCACTCTTCCTTTTACTTAAAAGGAAAAAATATTAATGGACTGTTTTAGAACATAGCTTACTGAATACAAATCCATGGAAACTGGATTAAAGGACTGGTAAACATCAAAAGTAGGGGGAGAGAGTAATCCCATAATAACATAGCAGAGACGTGGGAATATTTAAAACAAAACAATTTAGTGGTTATTTTAATTTACTCTGTACAAAAAATCCCGTTATATTGTGCTCAAAACTATGTTAATATTACTCCATAAGCACCTATGAATGGCTTATCTGACTGATTATCAAATAATTCACAAACCCCCCCCCCAAAAAAAAAAAAAAAAAAAAAAAAAAGAGGAATAAGGCAGCCACAAAACTGTTGTGTCCAT